CCCAGATAGCATCGATCTTCTCAGGGGGGACTTTGTTGGTAGGTTGAGAACCAACGTAGTATGGTAGTGAACGTAACGCAGTCGCCAATAGGGCGAACCGACGACGCAGCGTATGTATTTAGTCCAGCCATTAGGGCACGGTTTGACATACGGGAGTACTAGTAGAGGTACCGGGGGCTTCGAGCCTACGGCGTATTTAATAATAATAATAATAATATTTTAGTTATTCAGCTTATCTTTACGTTCGAGATCCTATTATCACGATACGAGTATCAGAGGCACATCCGACCAACTCGTGCACCAGACGTATAGGAGCTTCACTCTTATAACCAGTACCACGATCTTCGTCTGATAAGACCACCAGATGGGATCTGTTGGTACTGGAGCCGTCTGTTCAGTGTGTTAGGTGGTAGGTATATCCTACTGACCGCCTGACCCCGTTTCACTACCTAACACACTGAGCAGACGGTACCAACAGATCACATCTGTTGGTCTGATCAGACGAATGTGACGAGGCAGAGGCACTGCAAGTTCGAATCAGGGTTGCGACATCAGTCTATCTCTGTTGACGAATACTAAACTGAAGAAGAGAGAAAGAGATCTAAGTGCAAGTGCCCTTTCCTACATGATAAGGAAAAGGGCAGCGCGTACAGGTGGGACACCCATACTAAGGTGGGACACCCATACTAGGGTGTCCCTGTGTTCGTCCAGGGGCCCAGAGGCCAGGCATCGTGACCGGCGTCACAAAGAAGATCGTGGTACTAGTTATAAGAGCGAAGGTCTTGCAAGTCTTGTGCGTAAGTTGGTCGGATGTGCCTCTGAGACTCGTATCGAGATAATTCTCAGATTAAGACGTGTGGCTTTAGGAGTCGAATCGAAGCTGTCACTAGTACTAGATTGCTCTGATCAGGATAAGATAAAAGTAAAATAATAGAATCTCGAACGTAAAGATAAACTAACTAACTAATAATAATATTAAATACGCCGTAGGTGTTAACCCTCGGTACCTCTACAAGTACTCCCTTAAGGGGCTATAGATGATATAGCGGGCCCTTAAGCCGCGTCGGGCGGTTATACAGGTAAACTTGTAACCAAACGACTACTAAACCTCCTGTCCCTCCCTAAGTCTGTGCTACAACCCCTGCCTGAACTACCGATAAGTGTGGTAATGTGGCACTTAAATTCGTCCTCAGGGGTGGGATGCTGCTTGTTAGGCAACCTTGGTGGGCTTTGCCAAGACCACCAAGGTTACCACGTGACTTAGCCCTTCGGGACTAAGTCCAACCTTCGTGCTCCATAGGACTAGATAGAATGTCATGCTTTTACAACTTCACAATCTTTGACCACCTTTGCGTGTAACACTGCTGATGTGCAGAAGATGCTCGACTATTTTTTTTGTCGCGACAAGTCGTAGTATCTGCTAATTGGGGTTCTCGTCGAGCGTATACATCTCAACCATACGCTCAAGTGGATAGACCGTAACGTGGTCTAGACGCTCGCAAGAATCGCGGCGAGAGGGCGTGCTGCGCGCCTTCTATCGTGAGGGGACGGGTTCGCCGACGAGCGTTATCGGATAGGCGAGGTCCGATAAGGGGCCGGATTAACGATTCGAATTCTGGACCGGCTGTCGAGTTATATTCCGTCGACGTAGTGCTTGACGGTCGACTGGCTAGGATGCTCGTAATCCTAAACTGCACCAATCTCCCTATTATCGCTAGGTAGGCGAAGTCAACAAGGTGGGCAGCGCGCCATAAGGGTTGACTAAACCCCCTTGTGTGTCAGCTGCAGGATTCGAACCCGCGACTCGTCACCGACCCAAGTGGGTGAGGCTCAAATCGGGACTTATCTACCAGCGAAGTGACCAACTACACCAGCCGACGACTAACTAACTAACTGAAAAGCGAAGGTGAAGATAATTAAAGAAGGTGAAAAAAGATAATAAAAGGATAACGTAGTCCACGGTCCAATTGCACACTTTGGCAGACCTTATACGACAATGTATAAGTTAATTCAACCACAACGCCTATCATCAATTGAAACTACTCAGAATCATTATCTTCAGACGTCTCTACATCATTTCCACAAGTGCGCGCATTATGTCCGGGCTCGCCGCAGATTCTACAGCGCCGTAGCGCAACTCGCCGCCTCGTACGACCACCAATTTGACGAAATTCGTCATGTAACTGCCCATCAACCTCTCGTTGAGACTGTAGGTCCTCTCCAGCTTGTATACGAAGTGACCCTCCACTCTGTAGCTGTTTTTTCTTCGCACGGCGACGTCGACTTAAGGTCTCATTTGCCTTTCGAAGTCATTCGACCTCGCCTTCTAAAAGGGCAAGCCGAATAACCTTCGTTGTACTTCGCGCAATCTGATCTATTCCAGCAAAAATTGACGTTGGTGAGCTATTTTGATGTCGTACAATCCTATTTTTCACATAATCGCTTTGTGATTGGGCTTCGGTTGGGTTGTTCGGAGTCTTTGATTCCCAAGGGACGGGGAGACCAGCCGAGCTACTGTCAGAGAACAGAATGTCATAGGCACCAATGGGTGTCAGGACACTGAACGCAGGACACCGGCGGGCCGCCGGAGGGGTGTTTCGGACAAAAGACTCCCGAGTCATGATTACAATCTATGTGAAGCTTTGGGATGACGAGAGTCAAGATCCTTGGCATCGCCGACCCTGCTGTTATGCCGGGTCCAAGCGGCGGCCTAGCTATCTATATAAGGACCATCTCGAAGTAGGATAGGGAAGGAGTTGTCAGAGCCACAAGTGTCATCCGAGGCGGGCCGGCTTCCACCAGGTAGGAAGCCGTTTGTGGCGGCTAGAGAGCCGCTTGTGGCGAATGAGAGCCGTTGAAGCCGTTTGCAACGGATAGGGAATCGCTTGGTTGCAGATAAGGAGCCGCTGTCCAAGATATTGGCCGAAGTCGGAGGAACACAGACATACGGAAGCAAACATCCAGAATCCGAGAGAGAACCTCGGCTGGCTATAAGTAAGGAGTCGAGACGAAGGAAGATAGAGAGGGCAGAGATCAATGCATCACCGTGGGCACCCCAACCTGAGACCGCCAGTGACCACCCGGTATTACGTAGGAGGGACGCCCGTTACTCCCCATCACTCTGTACTATTGCCTTCGGCCTAGCCGTACCCTGACAGCTACCCGGAGGTGTTGGCGTATGTAATTTCACATCGAGCTGTGATATGACATAATCTGCATCGTACGGAACTATTCCTACCCCTCAGAAACCACCCTTGCATATTTGAAACCGTGAAAGTTGCGTTGTAAGCTTTAAAAACGCCGGTAAAAAGTCTTCTTTCGAGATATGACTTATATGTGCTCGCATGAGATCTTCGATTTCTTTTCCGTACGTTCTTTTTAACCCGCGAAAACAACCAACATCAAGAGGCTGGAGCTTATGCGACGAATGAGGAGGCATACAAAGCGTGACGATATTGTTAGCTTTGCAATATACCTCGAAATCGGTCGAGTGATGGCTTTCGTGACCGTCGAGGATCAATAGGCGATGAGTACCTTTCGTACGAGACTTGGTGTGATGATCGAAGTGTTTTATCCAATCTTCGCCTCTCTCGTTCCCAACGCCTTGAATAACTGTAACCCATTCCCGATTTCCTTGCTGGGCTGATCTAGGCCTTCCGCGCCGATCAGAAGTCGTCACGACCATTTCGGACGAGATTTGGCCCATCACAAAACCGGTCTCGTCGAAGTTGTAGATATCCTCCTGGATCGCGTATTTCGCAATTGTATTCCGTACCAGGTCAAACCACGCGCGATACGCGTCGGGTCTTCGCAGAGGACTCTCTGATAGTCGATCCTTCGATTTAAACGCGTTCGGAGGTCTGGTTGTCGTCTTACGAAGCTCGAGGCCCAGTTGACGCCGACGCGTCCCGCGTCGCGACTTCGAAGTAATCGGTTGGCCATATCTTCAACTACTCAATCGGGGAGGAAATGCTTGCGAATCTAGGTCGGTTATATGTCGTACGATTGCCTCTTCTTCGGAAGGAGTCAACTTTTGCGTTAGCGATCGCGTAATCGCTCGAGCGGTTTTACCGTCGCGTCGATACGCAAGAGTTCTAAAAGGTACGTTATAGATCTGACCAGCGCGACGTACACTTAATTTTGGATCAGATTGAAGCGCATGTAATGCTAGAACCATATCACTTTCATTTCAAGAACTAACTATAGTTATGTGGTGAAAAACCGCAGGTCAAAGTGGTAGCGTACGAAAATCTGCCGAAGTGTGCAATTGGACCGTGGACTACGTTAATTGAAGGTTAAGAAGAGGATTCGTGTCCTGCTCCGTCTCTGTGCTTCTTAAAGAAGAGAAAATAAACTTTCTCCTAGCTCCGTAACCTATTTCCCCCAATGTCCGGCCTTACCCCGTTACAGTAGTTATCCCATCGGTGGCGTACTTGACAAATATCCCCACGTACTGTCCCCAGAGGCCTTTGAGATCTTGTTTGACGAACACGGCCTTCTGCAGTTTGTCAGCCCCCACAGGGGCAAAGAAGGCACACTCAGAACTGGCTACCGTAAGTCGAAAGACACATGGCCGTTGGTTTCTCCAACGAATGTATTACCAGACCTGGTGGAATGCGGCTAACTTCTGGATGGAAGACATTTCTAACACGTAGACACTCATTAGACTGTAGTGTAGCTGCATTGGTCATATATGGCTGCTGACGATGATAAAAGGGTCAGTGGTCAGAAGGCCTAGAATATCTGATGGTTGGAAAGCTGTTGCACGAACCACATGTAAATTTTCGAGTACGGCCTGACCAGACGTTCTTGGCTTGCGACGAGACTGTTTCTCTGAAGATAACCTGAAACCGTTGAGAAGACCCCGTGAATGTAGACTTAACCTATGAAGGCGGAGCTTGACTGTATATCTCTGGGCTGCGGAAATAACTCAGTGACTGGTTTTATGGACGGAAACCCCGTTTGCAGGATGAAAATTCTGAGTTGGTGGTCCCATCCAGCAGAAGTTCATTATTGATGATTTTGGCTGGGGCCTTGATGGTCGTCCCTTTCCCGAATTCGATGCTATCCACGTTGTTCGCGTTGCTGGCTGGAACCACGCAAATGCAAAAGCCGAGGCAAATTCGGGATTCACCTGGACGGGCATTTCTTCTGGAAACCCGATTGATTGGGTCAGACTTCACTCTAGCATGTGACGTGTCGAATGAAATTGACTCTGCGTACAGGCTATGAAACGCTTCAATCTTATGGGCTTCAACATAACTCAGCGTTCTGCTATCATCTATGACCACGAAGCGGAATACTTCACAGGTACCACGCTGGAGGGCATTGGTCAATCTGTCGTCGGAGTGCTACAACACCCGGAGGAAACGATCAATCGCTTCGTCAAGGTTATGTCCATCAAGACTTGCAAGAACGAACTATTGGAAGCTTGCCAGAGCGCCACGGGTAAACAGTGGAATGTCCAGCCGTCACCCACGAAAACACTGCTTGATAGCAGGCGCAGGAAGCATGAAGAGGGTGACCGAGGCTGGGTCTTAGAGTTTGCAGTGTCCCAGCTGTTCGATGAGGGGAGTCGTGCTCTGATTTGTTGGGCGTGGTTGCAGAGACGCCGCAAGAGGTTGTGGCAAAGCTCCTGTAAAAATAATAGTGGACGGATATAGATGCATCATCGTTTGGATCTCATGTTGGAAGGGTCATCTACAGGAAAATTCTCTACTCCACGAGACTTAGAGTTTGATCATAACCTTAACCTCAATCTTGATTCCACTTCTAAATGCTAGCAAGTTCCGATCTCACTGTGCATTTTTCCTTCTTTTTCTTCTTTTTTTCTTTTAGCTTAGTTGTCTGCTACGATGGCAGTGGAAAATATGCGTATGATATCGAAGATGGAACGACCTGGCAGCTCTCAATGCCACGGAGACCATGGGCCCACTGCTGTTTCTCTTTATAGAAAGCCTATGGATCCATTCTCTCCAGAGGATTACCTGTCTTCTGTCACTGGACTCCAGCGAGAATTTCGAGTCTTTCACCATGCTCATATCAAGTGATATTGCTACTTTTACAGTGGCTGTTTATGCTGGGCCCGCACGGCGCGGAATTCCCCTTCGAAGGCGTACTTGGATTGTGCTGCGTTGCCTGTGAAGGGGCCGATTGACGATAGATTGGCGATAGTATGACGAGATGTCGAGACCGTGGTCCCAGAAACTTACCAAACTTATTATTGGCATTTGGTAATGTTAGATGCCATTTCTCTGTTCATGCTATGTACGGTCAATAATGCCGAAATTTTCGATACTAGAAGCAAAATATTGTCAGTTAGTGATTTCTATACCACGACTGTGTTATCATATACCCAATCAAACCCCTAGATCGGGCGTCCAATCCCTGACGGCGATCCCCCACACAACCGTATGGACGGACTGGCTGATGCTTACCCCGCCTTGCAGTCACCTCGGCATGCTCTCGCAGCATTCCATGATGAATTCTCAACGTTGTGCCTTTTACTCTGAACGCCTCGCTACGCTACAGAGACGCAACACTAGTCACACCATCCCAGACCCATCAGTGCAACGCCGGAGCTTTCAGAAGCACCTCCCCTCACGCGGCCCGGCCCGCCAACTTTGACAGCTCACCTCTATTTCTCTAAGCGCTTACGTTATACGTCATCATTATGGAGCTTCAGCCCGCATGTACTCCGTCTTTCCCAGCACCGCCAGACCCGCGGCTAGATCTACCAGTTTCCAAAGCTCAAGAGCTAGGCACCGGCCTCGGTTCTATCAAGGCCGCATGCGAGTTCTCGCTACGCGAATATTTCACACTGCAGAACAATCGCCACTACGACGACGCCGTGGCCGAGGAACGCTTCCGTACGCAGCGCAGTATCGTGCTGGCGGATTTGCGGATGCTGCGGAAGGATGTTGGTGCTGTTGTCAAGGGGTCGGAGTCTCATCGATGGAGGAGGTGGATTTTGGGAGGTGTCGTGTAAGTTTATTAGACGTTTCTTCGATTTTTCACCTAAAAGGCTGCTCGATGTGTACTATACAGACACGTCTAATACGGTCACAGCGTATCCTTAATCCCCGCAGTCCGCAAGATCTTTCGGCGGTCAGCGGATGATACCGAGTCCTCCAACGACACCGAATACGCTTTCAAACGGAGCAAGTCGTTGATAGAACGCATTTTGGACTCAGTGAACGGAAAAGGTACATTTGCGTCTGTGGCCTTCTTCGTCCTTGCCATCATGTACGTTTTCCAGAGCGAAGTTTCGTTGCGCGTGGCGAGGACGGTACAGAAGCGGCTGAAGAGGCTCTCTGCTAGAATTGAGGCGGGCGATGGGATGCTTGGCGAGGCAGATATGGACGTATTTAGGGGGTGGCGCTGGAGAGTTTTGATGTGGACGGAGTGAGTCATGAGACCAGTTTTGTGCTTCGGACGAGTCTCTAAATTGCAACATGTAAGTCCTTGCATACAGTTCTTAGAGCAGAGAATTGATGACCTACCATTCTGAATTAACTACAACGTGACGTGGGTTCCTCTTCTGTTGTGTAGTCGCATAATAACGCTTCTGCTCCGTTAACGAACACGGTAGATGGCAGTTATGTTCACACGCTGGCTCAAACGACGACTTGGCTGCATTGAATCCTCTGCTACTTCCAAAAGTGCATCCCGGATGACTTTCGTTGATCCAACGAAAACTTCCGAAGCCCTTCAGCTATCCGTAGACCGAAGTTGTTGGCGACACATGTAAACATGCAACAAATATACCCAAACTCCTCTTCAGTGATGAACTCACTGGTAGCAGCCGCACCCATGGGGAACAAAATGGAGCAAGCTTGAAAGCTTGCCGCAACAATAGGCTCTTTTGAGTGCTGTGAAGAGTGGACAGAAGCAGTACTTACATGATCCTCTGAATGGTCCAATGCAGCCGGAGCATCTGTAATAGAAGACAAGGAGTGTGTATTTGCTGCCTTGCCTCCCTTACTTATGGATGCGTGACCAACCAGACCACAGAAGTATGGGATACTTCCGATCAAATCACTCACCTCCCTCCTACCAATCAGGATTGCCTCCTTGTACTCGTCCGAATCTTGGATATGGAGGTTGGCGGCGCACCTTGCCATCGCGTTGCAAGTAAATACCCTAGCTACACATCCGGCCACGTGGAGATTCGCAGCTGCAAGGCTTTTGTATAAATGGACTTTGCCAGCCGGTAGAAGATGTCCGCAAGGCTTGTGTAGGCTGCAGTCGGATAGGAGTTTTGTAGATTCAATGTGTTCTGAAGCTTCAGCGAGATGGTATCGGGAGCCAGCTTGGATCACGGCCTTGGTCTCTTGAAATATCTTGACCAGGTCTGGGTTGCCACCTGCGGTAGCTAATTTGCTGGTCGACCCATTCAAACCAATGGGACGTGAGGGTAGATGGGGTATGACAAAGGTGCCCGTTCGCCCAGTTACGGCTGTGTTGATTGCAGCATCCCCGCGCGTGTTTGTCGCTTCGTCCATATCGATGGTGTCCTGTGTTGGTACAGTCTCTGACTGGTCGTTGTCTTCATCTTTGGATGGATCTGGTGCAATGTATAGCAGATATCGGGGATCGTTCAACCACTGCAGCCATGCTTCAGTGCCGGCGTGTGGTGTGGACAGTCCCATGAGTTTGAGGATGACCTGCATGCATTTAGTCGATAATGCAGATGCTCATCCGGGTTAGCTCTTACCGCATTGTTACAAACTACCCCAAATAGCGCTTGTCCAAGTTTATCTCGAAATGGTCTTTTTCCTCGTGCGCCAATCATAGCGGCTGCGCCATATGCGTGGCTTGAGAAGCCATCAAAATTATCTGAGCAGATGATCTTAACCATGTTAACCAGCGGGCTTCAAAGTTAATGTGGTGGGTAGCTCACCTCAAAGAGTACCAACACAACAATAGAAGCAAGTAGCTCATCGTCATGACAAGAGCCCGGCACCTGAACTGCATTATTTATCAACTTGAGAGCCTTGGAGTACGCAGCCCTTGCGCGCAGAATGGCCATTCTTGAGTTCTTCCTAGTGGAGTACACTGCCAGAGATGTTGCAGAAAGAGAAGTGGCAAGGCAATGGCTCATGTTCTTCCTCCGTTTGAGGAGTTTCAGGACAGGTATATAACCAGGATCCAGTAGTTGAGATGGTGCTTGGGCATATCGGCTGAGTAGGTAATGTAATGCTTGATCCTCTACCGGCGGTAAGAGGACATGCGCTGTTGGCAGCGTTGACGGCCACCTAGTTACATTCTTTGTATCTTTGTCGCTTATGTTTGGGTCATCGCGATTCTCACGGCCTTCGGAGTGGGCTCGGTGCCGGCCGCGATTGGACGTATGGGCCTGATTGTGACTCGGATCCTCGCTTTTTGACGCATAGCTAGCATCTTTTAGGGTCTCCCACTTGTTGATAGTAGCCGAAGTCATGTCCTGAATAATAATGCCGGAGTCATCGCGGTAACCATTGCATTCTCGGCCCGAACGTCGACATTTCAGGCAATGTGGCCGCATCTCATCACACTGTGCAGATGTTGATCAGCAATCATTAGTTGTGTGAGATGGAGCTCGCAGTTAAGGCCTTACCTTGACTCGTCTGATACCTACAGTAGTTCGTGTTAGGTGTTGTTTAATGTTCACGTTGAAACATACCAGTCTATATTTTAGGTAGCGTTAACTTACGACAAGTGTGACAAGAGGTTGATTTGCCAGTATAAACCATATTGGATTTGGGATGGTTGTATCAGGCCCCCTGCGGTATGATAACTGTTATCGTTGTGGAGTGTACGTATGGCTCGTCCAAGTGAACACCGCCGACATGCAAGGTGCGGAGAAGCTATATTCATAATAGCATAGGGCCAGTGCAAGAAAACTGTGCCGCACAGGATGAGAGCATGCTTACGCCCAGGGATGTTTGGGCACCTGCTATTCTCCGGCCTAGCGTAAACCTTGTCCCCCACAACCCGGTTCGTTTCTGAGCTGCCTTACAAGGCTGCTGCCTGTCACTTCCCAACAAAAGTATGTCTGGTCGCACATCGTGCCCACCAGGCGCAGACCTCCGATGCCAAGCCTCCAATGCCAGGCCTCAGATAGGCTTGGCATCCGATCCACTTAGCACTTCGTCTATCTCTCGGAGAGTTTTGAGCCTATAGAAGTACCCCAGAGGAACGATCTCCATTCTATCAGTAGTCATGCTATGCAGCCGGTCCACTAGTAGTATCAAGGATATAACTTCCCGACGAGTTAGAACCTATAGAAACGTTCCATTGGAACGATCTCCATTCTAGCAGTAGTCATGTTATGCAGCCGGTCCACTAGTATTATCAAGGATATAACTTGCCGACGAGTTAGAACCTATTGAAACATTCCATAGGAACGATCTCCATTCTAGACGTAGTCATGCTATGCAGCCGGTCCACTAGTAGTATCAAGCATATAACTTCCCGACAAAGTAGAATAAAAGATGAATAGCGAGTTAAACGACTTTACTTACTAACGTACCCCACGGTCCAATTGAACACTTTCGCGCATTTCCGTACAACCTAGGTTTTATCCCTTATTTTCCACCTTCTACAATGGCACGTAATTCGGAAGAAAGCGATATTCAATTAGCGCTTCAAGCGCTTCAAAATAACCCCAAACTAAGCGTACGATCCGTAGCACGGATCTATAATATCCCTCATACAACCCTACGTCACCGATATCGCGGCGGTACTTCACGACAGGATATACGATCACCAACGCAAAAACTTACCTATTCCGAAGAAGACGCGATTGTACGCTACATAGTCGACCTAGATTCACGATCATTTCCTCCTCGAATAAGTGGTGTTGAAGATATGGCGAATCGACTACTCCACCAACGCGACGCAGGACGCGTCGGTATTAACTGGGCTTCGAGCTTCGTACGACGACAACCAGACCTCCGGACGCGTTTTAATCGAAGAATTGACTACCAGAGAGTCCTCTGCGAAGATCCCGACGCGTACCGCGCGTGGTTTTATCTCGTACGGAATACAATTAATAAGTATGGAATTCAAGAGGAGGATATCTATAACTTTGATGAGACTGGGTTTCTTATGGGTCAAATCTCATCCGAGATAGTTGTAACGACCTCTCATCGACGTGGAAGACCTAGAGCAGTACAGCAAGGGAATAGGGAATGGGTTACAGTTATCCAGGGAGTCGGATCGGACGGCTATACTATCCCTCCGTATATCATCTTTGCTGGTAAAACTCACCTATCTTCGTGGTACGAAAATAGCCTACTGTTACGAACCGTTGGCCCTAGACCAACATTACAGGCCCGTTGGCAGGCCAGGTGGATACAGACGCTAGGATCACGGGACCCCGCATCGGAGAAAGGAAAAGACCGACAGGTCACGTGACCTACAGTGGTGGATATGTTGGTCAACTACATATCCAACCAACAGGATATGTTGGCAGAGAACATATCCAAGTGGGGATCAGTGAAGGAGAGATGGGTATATAATGGATAGGACTCCCAGGCATTTCACAGATAGACAGTCTCTACTTCAGTGATCAATCTAAGCATCAATCTAACCCATTGGTGAGGCAAACTGCCTCGACGACTCTATGCCCAGTTACCCTACTTGAATACTTCAGTTACCCAGAGCCCTATACTCCATACGTCAGACCCCGATATTATTGCTAAAGGACTCGGCAGCAGGACTTACTTACTAGCACAAACCCTTACAGACTCTTTAGTGGTTTACGCAGCTAGACTATTAGAGGTTTCGTTACACCTACTACCAAAGGATTGGGTTATCGCGGTTACGAAAAATGGCTGGACTACTGAAACGGGGTCAGGCGGTCAGTAGGATATACCTACCACCTAACACACTGAACAGACGGCTCCAGTACCAACAGATCCCATCTGTTGGTCTTATCAGACGAAGATCGTGGTACTGGTTATAAGAGTGAAGCTCTTACACGTCTGGTGTCAGGGTACGGCTAGGCCGAAGGCGATAGTACAGAGTGATGGGGAGTAACGGGCGTCCCTCCTACGTAATACCGGGTGGTCACTGGCGGTCTCAGGTAGGGGTGCCCACGGTGATGCATTGATCTCTACTCTCCCTCTATCTTCTTCCCGGGCCTCCGCCCCTTACATAGATAGCTAGAACCCGACGTCGGAGCCGCGGAGCACTAGTTTCCCCGATTGTTCCGCAAACCAAGACTTCCATATCGTCATGACTCGCACATTCCTACACCGGAGCCCCACCGGTGTCCCACCGGTGCCTATGGCATTCTGTTCTCTGACATCTGGTGCGCGAGTTGGTCGGATGTGCCTCTGAGACTCGTATCATGATAATAGGATCTCGAACGTAAAGATAATCTGAATAACTAAAATAACTAAATACCTGACTGAAAAGCGAAGGTGAAGATATAGATAAGAAGGAGATGATGATATGAAGATGAGGATGATGATGCGCGAACATGAGGGACTCGTGTCCTACTCTGCCTCTGTGCCTCTTAAAGAAGAGAAAATAAACTTTCCTCTAGCCCCGTAACCTATTTCCCTGATGTCCGGCCTTACCCCGTTACACTACAAATGAAAGAGGCGAGGACTGGATTCGACACTTCGATCAACATACAAAGCTTCGTACGAAAGGTGTTTATCGCCTCTTAATTCTCGACGGCCACGAGAGCCACCACTCGACCGCTTTCGAGCTCTACTGTAAAGAGAACTCTATTATCACACTCTGTATGCCTGCTCATTCGTCGCATAAGCTCCAATGTAAGGAAAGAGCCGTTGTGGCGGGCCGGTCTCAGCTGACAAGCTGAGTCGGGAGGGATTCGCCCCGATCCGGTACAACCCCGGAACCACCCAGCTTAAGAGGAGAACTCGAGACGCTCGCACCTAGTTTAGATTCTTCAAGAATCAGTCTTACAATATACGCACCCATACACTGGCCTACTTCTAGCTACCCTTTGCACTACCTGACTATTATATTGTGAGACGTGTGGTATCCTCGTTACAAAGGCGGGCAAGGCCCTTATACTCTAGGTCACCGAGAATACTAAATTACGTATTGAAAACGAGTAAATATACAAAGAACTCGATAAACACGCTCTAGATATACGCTATCCCGTCGAGCCAGACCGGAATAAAGTATTCGTTAACTTATTAGCGATCCGAACAGCCTAGGATAAGCGAAATAAGCGAATACGGCCTATTTTACCGGATAAGTAGTTAGAAATTAATACTTTTCTCGAAGGAAGGATCTCTCCTAAAAAGAGGGCTCGAAAGAATATATCTAAGTCTTTGAACGCTTAAATTAAGTATATTCCATATATAATCATTAAGGACAAAGTATTTAGGTTAATTCAGTTCAACCCTGCAAAATAGGGGTGTATGGAAAAAGGGTGGTTAATGCGGTTAACTCTTTTGATTATGTTCCAAGATGCTAACGTAATCTACACCCCGCGTCGATTTTCGGGCATACTATACTCTCTATTGCGATTAACCCAACATCTACATTCGATTCATTACCTCTGCTAATTCCTTCATTGCCTCAGTTTATACAGGGTGACACTTATTATAAGTAGATGTGGTGATCTGCCTTGTTCTTTGTTTACATCCTTCTACCTATTCCAATCCCACCGAGAACCGTGTTGCTTTGTCAACAATCGGTACAAGTAACGCATGAAATATACTCGGCGGAGTGCCCAGCATCAATCCCAGCAGCCGACGTGAACAGATCCGAGTCTCCCGGATACTCTAATATGGATAACCCAGAACCTGTACAGCCACTATGGGCAGAGCTAAATCTGCTATCAGCACCTATCCCACTCAATGCAAAGAGAGATGAATGAGAGATCTTACTCGTACAGTCGGCAGAGGGCGCCATGGTCTGGCACAGCAGAACCGATTGAATGAATAAACGCGTCTGGAAGTTCTTGACAATTGGCAGTCCAATTGCTGCCGAGTCCTCCGAAAATATCCAGGCATGTTCCCTGAAAATTTATGTCTGTGCAGATGTGGATCTAGAAGCTTGTTAGGCTACCTATTTAATACATAAAGCGGAGAAGACTCACATTGCCAGCGTCCCTCACGTGTAAGTCCTCTTCAAAAGCAGGAGCTGCAAAAGCGAAGGAAGGGACTAGGGCAACGGCAATGATGTAGAGCCACTGCATCTTGTCTGTTATTCAATGTAGATGATGTGGGGTGGATCTATGTTAGAAATGTGTGCTGATAGATATGTCGAACGTTTTAGTGGTGGAGTTTTGGTGATGGAATATCATATGTTTTCGCATCTGGGAAAGCGGGCCCATTTATGCTCCTCCTTGTAAACCTTTTAGCCAGTCCCCCAGCATGCTCATATGATGTTCGACCCCGGACGCACCACGTCATGAACTTGCTGAGTGCTCCGGCGATCGAAGGTGAAGCGAAGTTCACAACTGGACACTCAGTCGGCAATGAGGCGATTGAACATAGTCTGACTCTAGACCGGCTTGCTGCGCGACTTTACGGGAATCCATGCATATCGTCGCACGCGGAGCCTCTTCTTTAGGATACGATAGGTTGCACAACGTGGGCAGTGTCGGCTGTGCGCTGTGAAGCCACATTTACGAGTGCATGCACAGAAATGAACTCGAAAACTGTGATCTACTTATAGCAATTCGGTTGGGCTGTGTAGTGGGGAGTCTAACGAGACTAGAATACAATTAGACTTGCACCAATGGGCAACGATCGAGACGGCCGGTCCGTTAGTTGGTAGCAAACTCGTCAGCACGCAGCATCTGAAATAGCACAAGCACTGCATTGACCTTGGAAATGGGCTTTTGCCACTCCGTTTGACACTATCCTCGCCTTCTGTTTGATGTCACCACATTACATACATCTGTTCGTGTGCTCGCCTGCTTACCCCCTCGCAAACTCAGGATTTCCCAGTTCGTTGGTTTACTGTCCTTTGTTTCTACCTCCGCCACTGCGTCAGTCTGAGTTTTCGGCCACTGATGGGTGCTGATGACGTCGAGTAGCTCGCTTACACGGCAACGCCGAGCACCGCTAGAGCACCTAGTGAAGCGCCGAAAACGACCTCAGCTTTGGCTCATGTGGATATCCCAGACCACGCACGACCAGATTTGGATGAACACAAAGTTGTAGCTGAACTGTTGTCGTGGAACTTGGAAGGCAGATTGCTAAATCCTACGTACCATCGCCCCAGGTGTGAACTTGGACAAGACTTCCACCGCTCATCTAGGGTATCCAAAGTTGACTACTGAGAAACTCGGACGTTATTCCGAATTATCCATTTGGATCGTCGGCTAAGGGCCACACGGTCTCAGGCTGACGTATTCAAGAGCCAAGCCATACTCAGACTCCGAAATCCACCTCAAGCGCCCGTCAGATCCGATGTAGAATGTGTGACTCTTGCTTCCATCATGGGTGGCCGATGATGCGTTCACCAGTGCGTAAGGCACTGTGGCTGCAACATGTGAGAAATGAAATCTCAAATGGTTTCGTGGCACGAATGACATGTATTTCAATGTTAGCCAGGATATAGCGTCTCAATCTCTCTATGGAGATTATCTCCGCGAGTGACCACAGGCGTCATTGTCACATCAACGTATTGAGGGCCAATGGCATGTCCGGAAACAACGTGTCTTAATACTGAACCCGGGTGATACCAGCCTCCCCTTTTCACGTAGGCCAATATTTGAAACATATACATCTGCATAGAAGAAGGTGGCCGCTTCGTTTTCTGGGTTGATCGTGAATGTAGATGCATAAATCTCCTCTCTTTTCTTTGCTGAATGCGGCAATCTGGTATATTCGTAAGTTATACCACTTTAATAGAATTAAATAGTTTGATCCATGCCATGAATAGCCAGTGGCAGTAATTGCAGTCCCTCTCCTGGGAAATAATCTAGTCATATCGAATACACTCGAGTCATCGATGGAAGAAAGAGGGATTGTGCCAATGTCGTTGCAAAGACTGTAAGTGATACTGCCAGTTGCATAAGCGTACATGATGGTTTGAGGAGGCCCGATTTCAGCTTCTAGGAGACTATAGGCTCTGAGCTGGCGGTGCTAGTCAGGAGCACCATTATCATCGAGTTTGTTGTCAAGTTGAATTTCTAAAAAGGGGACCAAAAGGAGCTCTTGGCCAACATTGCGGACAAGCCTCGACTCGACTCAATATGAACCAACCATGACCTCTTGGTGGGTTGGTGGCCAAATTAGTAAGCATAATAAGTAGTATGCTGATGGATCGGGTATTCATGGAGCATGCTTGTGGAGTCGAGGGTATTTTGGTGGATATTGTTAGTACATAGAAATTTTATCGTCAACCTCGTCTTCATTCCCACTGTAATTGCCCAACGGGGATACTACACGTCTCAAGAATGACAGTCAGATAGTGCAAAGAGCCGCTGATGATATGCTAATAATACGGCTGCGTATATTGCAATTCTGATTCTTAAGGAATTCAAGTTATGTGAGAGGGTCCAAAATCTCCTCTTTGGCTGGGGTACATCCGGAGTTCTACCGGATCGGGAGCGAAACCCTCCGACGCAGCTTGCCAGCTGGGACCGACCGGCCATGACGACTCTTCCTCACATTTATGTAGCTAGACTAGTAAAGGTTCTTTACTCTTGTCACAGCAATAGCGATAACGTAGCCACGGAGTGCTGTATACAGTAATTATTTGGACCAAGTGTCAGTGATCCACTGGCATTCAAGATCTTTTATTCTATTGGCCGAGTGGCTCAGTCATCCCTTTCATAATCGTAAAGTGTCGAATATCACGTGTGTCCAATCGAGTAGTCAGCAGTGCGTAAGATTGTATATAAATGAGGTGTGTTCTTGTCTGTCTGTCTTCTTGTCAGGGTACGGCCTGGACCGAAGGCGATAGTACAGAGTGAAGGGGAGAAATAGGCGTGTCCCCCTGGTGGTCACCTGGTGTTCACTGGTGGTCACTTGGTGATGGCAGGTAGGGGTATCCACAGTAGTTCATTCATCTCTCCCCTCTCTATCTTCCTCCGTCTCGACTCCTTACTTATAGCCAGCCGAGGTTCTCTGTTGGATTCTGGATGTTTGCTTCCGCATGTCTGTGTTCCTTCGACTTCGGCCAACATCTTGGATAGCGGCTCTTTATCTGCAACCAAGCGATTCCCTATCCGCTGCAAACGGCTTCAACAGCTCTCATTCGCCACAAGCGGCTCTCTAGCCGCCACAAACGACTTCCTTCCTGGTGGAAGCCGGCCCGCCTCGGATGACACTTGTGGCTCTGACACTTCTGTTCTCGCGAACTCCCGTTGCTCTGCCTTTTATAGATGCTTTAGAACATGTCGGTAACTTTGGTGTTACTTTTGAGAAGAGGGGTTCCTTTCGCCTTCTGAACTTCAAGTGACAATAGTCTTCTCTAGTGCCATATTATTTCTGAACCTAGGAACCAGGTGCCCTATCTGACACGACTAAGTCATCCACGCTTGGCGGGGCTCCTACAAGGGTTATGATTGGCTTCCCATCTCACACTGCCACGGCAGGTGTTCCAGCTGTAAGTCACCTGGTTGTAGTGAGTCTGCGAGGGTTGACCGTCACATATTATATACCTTCGTAGTACTATACTTCTTTAATGATTACCCTTACCGTTATAATCTAAGTAAGCTAATAATCCATAATCATAGTACTATTTCAACCGCTAAGTCTATATATAGCCGTACACTACTATCCTCGTTAGATTACGAATTCGCTTATACTTTAGGTTGTCCTCGAAACAGTCCCGGAGTAGCTATAGCCTACTCTAATATAGCGTATATATATGGCTATAATGAGGCTCTTCTCCTTATAATATATCGGTAGTATAATCTATGGCTTTATTCCTAGGTACTCCTTCTTCCTTTTCGTAGAAGAACATTTCCTAGGACATAGGGATGCATCAGCAGAAGGCTTTCTGCACGAACCCTTTCGATCCTTGGGCAAAGGGCTCAAGCCAGGTACGCAGCGCTCAACTTCTCCGTTCGTCGATGGCCTCTTGGCTCTCCGTGTTGTCGACCTTGTCGACCATAGCGGCCGTCTTTGATATCATGATGTCGAGGATTCGCTTGCCCACATCGGAGGACGATCCATTCCGCAGGACATGGTGCCAGAAATGTGTCGCGGCCCGGGACGTGATCCGAGTATATCGCAGCACGTCGTGTGTACCTGCCTTCTACGGTGCGGCGCTGGTTATCAGGCCAACTGTCGAAAGCGTGTCGGAGGGCACCGCGTGGACACATGCCAAGGCGTACAGGCCTCCACCCGAGCCGCCAAGGACAGCAAAACGCTGCAAGCCAAGATGCCGAGCCAGGAATTTGACGTTGGCGGGCTAGTGAATAATGCGGCACCTCGGCTTGAAAGCAGAGAGATCGTAGTTTGGGCAGTTGATCACAATAATGCGAATGTTGTGGTGGCGGCCGAGGCTCTCGAAGCCTCGGGCTTCAAGATGCGACGAGGGGAAGCTACGGAAGAAGAGAGAGAGCCGGCGAGTGAGTCGGCCTCAGCGAAGCCCAGCTTACGGCCATCGGGAAGCGAAATGGTCTAGTCAGACGAGCCGCGCTTGTGGTGCTGGAATGCCTGCATGCTTCAATGAAGACGAGAGGGCGGTAGCGGATTGGTTCCGAAAATCGGACACATAATGGGGACAGTCTGGAGGCCCGCATTTCGAATGGGTTTGTGAGAGTCAATGAACTTCAGAATCGGATTCCGAGTGTTGTCGTGGAGGCTAGCAAGAGAGTCCCAACGTATGTTTTTCACTCACAAACAATCAGTCAGTTTTGGGTGCGCGATCGGCTGATTCCTCCACCGAATACGGACGCATGAGATGTAGTTATTTGTTCTCATCCCTGATAGGGCGATGCCGGGATGCTCAATATAAACGTCCTAATAGATGTAGGAGCCATGGGACTTATGTTATGAGTGTAAGTCATACGTTTCAATCGGCGGCTGCATCAATATTGTGTTACACAAGAGTGTCTTAGCAAAGCAGGGCCGGTTACGGTATTGTGAAACTCTAGGTTGAAGGCTGATGCAGGCTTGCAGCCTATAATGCAGCAAGGGAAGGAGATTGGAGGTGCATATCGTGGCAACGGACCTGATTATGCACTTTTTCCGCGCGTGCCGGCATTCCGCGTAATATCTGATGTGTTACATCGGCTATGGGGATGCAGTAAGTAGCTACTTGATTCTGTGTGCTAAGCAACGTTCGTATTCCTTACAACTTACTGCGTCAGAAAAATAATGAAGAGTTCTAATTTGATACCAAGTAAATGTAACATCACCATCAACGGCATAATGTTATTGTTAATTAAAGCGGGTTACGACAAACTCGAAATGCTTGCACGTATGGCCTGGTAGCCAGATATAGCCCTTTGGACAAATTTGGCTGTGAATTTGCCGTATATCATGCTCAAAAGTACTAACGTCACCCACAGGTCATTGCCCCACACGGGTCTTTGCCCAACTTTTCAAGAAATCTTGACTTTCCATCTTTACTTATACAATTCTTCCCTTCCACAACATGGCACGCAAATCTAGTGAGGCTAATCTTCAATTAGTCATCCAAACTAAACGACGCGATCCTCACCTAAGTTGGAACAAGCTTGGTAAAATCTTCAAAGTCGACCATAAGACATTGAAGCGCCGTTACGAAGGCGTACAACCATTACACATTACTAACATGTCCAAACGGAAAATGACCGAAACCGAAGAGAATACGATTACCCGACGCGTAATTGAGCTAGATTCGCGAACTTTTCCTCCCCGGCTTCGATACGTTGAAGAAATGGCGAATATCCTCCGACGCGACCGCACCCGTCGGCAAGAACTGGGCCTCGAGCTTCGTACGGCGACAACCAGACCTCCGGACGCGTTTAAATCGTCGAATAGGTTACCAGCGGGCATTCTGCGAAGATCCTGTCGCGTATCGCGGTTATTTTAAGCGTGTTGCGGACACAATAGCGAAGCACGGCATCCAGCCGGAGGATATCTACAACTTTGACGAGACGGGCTTTTTAATGGGCATAACCTCAACCGGCATGGTCGTTACGAGTACCGAAAGACGTGGAAGGCCTAGGCAAGCCCAGCAAGGCAATAGGGAATGGGTTACTGTCATTCAGGCGGCCAATTCCCAAGGCTGGGCGGTGCCGCCGTACATCATCTTCGCGGCCAAAGTTCACCTCGCTTCGTGGTATCGCGACACCACATTACCGGGCAATTGGGTCGTTGATCTATCCCACAACGGATGGACAACAAATGATATTGGTCTCAGCTGGGCAGCTCACTTCGATCTGCACACACGCGATCGTACGAAGGGTGTCAAACGCCTCCTGATCCTTGATGGTCACGAAAGCCATCACTCGATGGATTTCGAACAATACTGCAAGGACCATGGCATCATTACCTTTCCTATGCCTGCCCATTCGTCCCATAAGCTCCAGCCTCTCGACTTGGTACCTTTTAGTGTTTTGAAACGGGCGTACGGTGTGTTTGTTGAGGGTTTGATGCGACGGCATCATACCCACGTTGCGAAGGAGGATTTCCTTGTCGGTTTTTTGGAGGCGTTTGGCGCTGCTTTTACTGAACAAAACATCAGATCTGGTTTCGAAGCAGCTGGAATTGTCCCTTTTGACCCCGACAGGGTTATATCTGCCCTGGATGTCGCAGAAGTCGCGCGTACACCCTCTGCCGACCCAGAACTCCTACCTCCTATTTGGACTTCTAAGACACCTACTACCACCCTTGAAGCCGAATCGCAGTCAACGTTGATTAAGAATAGCGTTCAGAGGCATCAAGACAGCTCTCCGACGCATATTCTTCATTCAATTGACTCGATTGCAAAGGCTACGCATGCAATGATGCAAGAGAATGTTATCTTGCGTCGCGAGAACGAAGAGCTTCGTGAGACTAACCATGTGCTAAGCGAACGTCGCAGAACCAAAAACAAGCAAATCCAGTATGGTGGGCCACTTAATATAGAAGATGCACAAGTTATACGGGCTATTAGGGGTGATACGGGCTTGGAAAGTGAGGAAGAGGGTGAAAGTAGTCGTCCTACAAGGAGGAGGGCAACGGGTGCTAGGCGCTGTGGCATTTGCAGAGGAACTGGACATAATGCGCGAACTTGTCAGGCAGATGTAGAAACAGATAATGAAAAGAATACTGATTAATTTTTTGGATGAATACGGGTTGTTGTTGATCTATCTAAGATTAAAGGTTGGGAGGTCGTGAAAAGTTGGGCAAAGACCCGTGTGGGGCATTGACCTGTGGGTGACGTTATGGAAATCGTAACAGACAGAAACAGTAATCTAATGCTCCAATCGATTGGAACCGCGTTCCTGCCTCTTCGTGAAAGGGTCTCGATATGCAATTACAGAGTGAAATCCCCATTGCTCAAGTGATGTTCGTAATCGTAATAGAGTTGAAATTCGGCATAGCAGTAGTCCGTGTCTGCCTCTATATCGAAGTTTTTGCAAGCCTGCTCGTCGTTGACCAGGGCCTTTTCTGTAAGAGTGTGATTGAGAGATATCCAAATATTATGGGACAGAACTTGGAAGAGATGCATGACTTGAGCTGCAAGATATTTTCGATGGCATTACGATTGGTGATATGGAAATCTTTCAATCCCGGCTGTTAACACCAACCTTGCAAATAGATTTGTAAGCAACTATAACTTTACCTACTGAGAATCCCATTGTGCCGCTCGAGGAACACAGGAAAGGCTGTATGACAAGCCCCTTGGCCTTCTGACCACTGAAGAGCTGGCAGTTGATCCACCTTTCTCCCTTGTTAATGAATTGGTTCACTTTTTCAAGGTCTTTTGGTGCCTGCATACACTTTGCAGCCTTCACAGGGACATCGAGAACATATATGTGGCTACGTGAAATTCCCGCCAGTGTAGCGGTTTCGAGAGCTACGGCAGAGATGCCCAATACAGACTAGCTGGCCCTCTCTTCGCCCATGCTGCCCATTCTACTTCTGTAATCTCGTAGGCGCCGGTGTGTTCGACTTCTTCAATTGCATCCGCGTGATTACCGAATAATAGTGCCTTGGTAGCTACGTTAACAGTGCGGTCGAAGCAGCGACCGCGCCGACGCCGTCCATCGAAACCGAGACCGGCTTGGCGCGTTCAGAGCAGAACCAGCAGCGGAAGCAACTAAATAGGTACTCTTTGGGGTCCTAAGGCACTGGTGCAGCCGAAGAAGAAGACTGGCGTGACGATACTATCGGGGTTAACGCTGTAGTGGTTGTTTGGGACTCCATAGTATTAGGGAAGCAACTTGGGTGCCAGAGGACCGCCGAGATGACAGCGAAAGTTCCTACAGGAATAGTAGGGGCCTCTAGAACGTGCAAATTACTAAAAATAGTGAACCTTTAGCTTGGCAAACACTTGGAAACCAAGTCACCAAGTCTAAATTGATATAGCTTGGCAGCCAAAATCTGGAGAATTGATGGGTTGGGTTGGCTGGTTGACGTCAACCCTTGGCAACCAGGTTGAAGTAGTTGGGTTGTCTCGAGGCTTGAGTAAGAAACTGAGGGATTCAACCCTCAGATGATGACTCTGTACAGATCCTGTATTGGTTACGATGCTCGATGCGCAGTGTGATGTGTGTATTGACTGCTTGGAGTGCTATGTAAGAAGTTACATCTAAGGTAGGTAGGCAGGTGCCGGCCTTTTTATCTACACAAGCGATTTCACTGCCTTAGGCACCACCTCAGGCACCACCTCAGGCACACATATGGCGCTCAATCCCACACGCCCTCTCGCCACTATGGGTTCTAGGGCCTAGTTTTCGTAAATACGACCTTTCCATCGTCCAATCGCAGTGTGTTTCTGCCGTGAATCACCGCCCTCGTCACATACATGGTGTCCCTTTTTCCAATCGCTCCATCCCCAACAGTTCAACGAATCGATCGAACTTGGCTTTATCCAGAGGCTTGGTGACTACGTCGGCTGGATTCTGGTCGCTCGGCACCCAACGCAGCTTGACGTTGCCGGATCCCACCTCCTGACGGCCGTAATGGTAACCAACTCTTATGTGGCGTTTCTGTCTGTTCATGGCGGGGTCCTCTGACCACTTTACCGCACCAGAGTTGTCCTCGAGGATCACGATAGGGCCTTCCGGCATGTGTCCCAGTTCTGTAAGGAAGTTTCGGATCCAGGCGGCGTCGCCGGCGGCTTCGCTGAACGCGATGTATTCGCTTTCTGTGGAGCTCTTCGCGACAACACTTTGTAACTTGGAGTGCCACAGTACTGGACAGCCGGCTATCATGAAGACGTAGCCAGTGACAGATTTGCCTCCGTCCGCATCGGATGCGAAGCTGGCGTCTACTGCTCCATAGAGTCCCAGTGCATTGTATTGAGTGGCTCTATGCTCTTTCTTGTACTTCAGTGCTAGTTGATTCTTCGCGACGTAGCGTGGTACCCTCATTAGTCCGATCGATTGTGTCGAAGATGAATTTGACATGTACCTGGCCCAGGTCGAGGTTGAGTGCGCCGTGTCGGGTCTCGAGAGGCATGAGGAGTAGTTGAATTGGCCAACTACGGTAGCGAAGTGATGTATCTCATCAGTACTGGCTTTTCCAGTATTCTTCGTCAAGTTAGCGGCCATGCCGGCTTCGAACGGCGTTCCGACTCCTCCGAGCTCGTTGAATCCTAATGCTTCTAATGCCTTGTCGATGTATTGGTCTTGGTCAAGTCTAACATCGCCGGTTTCGCCAGTTCGTAAGATGCGCATGCCTAGGAACCAATCGGCGGGGCCCAAATCGTTGAGTGGTACTTCCTTCGACACGTCCGCTGCCAAAGCCTTTAAGCGTTCCAGATCTGGTCCGAATAGCAAGAAATCGTCTACGTGCGATGCAATGATGTCCCTTGTCTTCCCGTTGATGTATACTGCATCGTCCGATAACAAGGCTCGAATCCACGCTTCTTTAGGATTCTCTTGGCCTCACGTTGCCACGTTGCCCCGGCTTGCTTCAAGCCATAGAGCGGCAGCATTAACTCGATAATGCTCTCTGGGGAGTAGCCGTACTTTGCTACTTCGTCGGGGTATGCTTCGAAGTATTCCTTGAGCATTGGGAATTGCTTCATGAAGATCTTCTCATCAAGCTTGCCGTTAAGGTACGCGGCTACGAAATCGATCTGTAAGATGTGCCAGCCTAGCACTGCCGAGAGGGCCATCAGGATCCTCCATGATGCTGCTCTGGCTGTTGACGCTGCTGTCTCGTTGTAGTCAATGCCGTACCGCTGGGTAAAGCCTCTGGCGCAAATCCTCGACTTCAGCTTGTCCAATTCACCTGTAGAGAGAAACTTCTCTCGCAGTACCCACTTGGCGTCAATGATATGGCCGTGCATGGCTTCAGACTTATCGCAGAAGCGGAATGTGCCTCTTTCCAGGCCTTGCCTGATCTCGGCGAAAATAGACTGCATCCACTCGCTGCCCTTAGGACCGTTGAGTGCCTCCCGTAATGTCGGCTCTGTAGGGTGTTTTACCTGTAGCAGGCGGTAGGTTTCCGACTCTCCCAACATCGTGGCTACATTGAGTAGCGGCTCGAACAGAATTCCGTCTCGTTCTTGTCGCAGCAATTCGAATAGCATAGACTTGATGTACTTGTGGTCTGATTCACGATGTGAGTCGCCAGTGCCTCCATAGAAATCGTCAAAATCCTCGTCTTTCTGCTCAACGTCACTGGCAGACACGCCCTCTTGGATGTAGGCTTTTGAGCGTGCCAGTTGGTTCATCAGTTCATCATCATCGGGGGGGGGGGGGGGGGCTCTACTACGTATGCTTGCAGGTTCGGTTTGGCCTTGCGGGGGCGCCCTCTGCGCGGTTTTACTGCGTTTGCTTCGTCGTCTGTGACATTTTCGTCAACCTTGTTGAGATCTTTGGACTTGACCTTCGTCTGGGTCGTCTTTCGGTGACGGAGTCGCTTCTGGATGTGTTGGGGAAGCGATCGAACAATGTCTCGTGTATCGGGTGCCTCGTCTCGTGCGGTGTTGCCGAGGTCTTCGTGAAATATCGCATGCGGTGTATCTAAGTATCTACCTCCATCGATTAGCCAGAACCGGTAGTTGTGTTCTCCGACATAGTCAAGAAAAATGGCCTTGACCGCTCTGGGTTCGAGCTTCTCTGCTGTAGTTCTCAGCTTGACGTCTACGTGTACCAGTGCCAGCGATCCTGGGATTCGTAGATTGGCCATATCTGGTACCCATGCGCCCTCTGGCGCCAGTTCTTGGTGAAAACATTCGTGTGGCGTCACACCCTCCAAGGTTGATGTGCCGGTACGATTCGTAATGTATGTTGTGCAACTAAGCACATCGTTCCAGAAACAACTAGGGATTCTTCCCTGAATGCTGATGGCCCTGGCAGCGTTTTGGATTACTCCAATCCAACGCTCTGCTGTCCCATTTTGATACTGATTGTATGGGGTTGATATCAGCAGATCGATGCCTTCTTCGTCGCATAAGGTGTTGAGTGTTGCCAAATCGAAGTCCTGGGATCCATCGATTTTGATTACCTTGCATCGGCGGGGAGGACTCTGTGTCATCAAACCCGCCTGTACCCTAGTTACGTAGCGTTTGAATCCGCCAGCCACTTCGCTCTTGTGCTTATATGCGTCGAATGTGCGGTGACGGCTCTTGCCATCCGTCTTGAGATCGAAGTATCTCATGCCTTCGACTGATTCGGGCTTTAGTTCTCCCAGATCGCAGTGAATGACTTCTCCGACGTACTGCGGTTGGTACTGGGGGTCATGAGAGGGAATCTTCGTGCTCTTGGCTTGATCGCATGCCACGCAAGGGAGTGACTCGATGAGTGAGACATCGATGTCTATACCAGTTGAATGCTCTACGGTCGATGCCAGTCTCTGTGGGCTCGGATGGGCCAGGCGACGATGCCAAAGGGTTAACTGCCCTGCCAGGTCGTCCGTCATCTCCATGATCCCTGTACTGACCATCGTGTCGTGAATGACTCGCTTCATATTGCCAATCTCTTCCGTCGAGAAACCGAACAATCCTAGGGCGCCCTCTGACCCTGGATCCCTTAAGTAGTCTGTGTGTTTCTTTCGCTTTCTCTTGGGTTCGCTCCTGCCGAATTGCCATAAGAACCAGCCTCTTTTCTCGGCATCTATTGTCGTAATTACTGTGCCGGTGCGGTTGGCGACCAAGTAGTTGCGTTGACCTTCTGGACCCCTCAAGATCCACTTGACTGAGCCAGCCCTCTGGGCATGTACGACGCCTCCGCCTGTGACGATAGGGTACTAATTCTTCTTCAAGTCGACCACCGTGCCCTGTTCAAAGTCATTTTCATCATTCGTGGCGTGAATATTTGCTGCGGTGTCGAATATCAACAGCTCAGAATCGGTTGGTCTAGCCTCTGACGTGTAGGTTTGTGCAATAAGGACTTGGGCTTGGTTCCGAGCGATGGCCTGTTCGTACTCGTCAATGAGGTCTTGGTAATCGAACCCTGCCTTTGCTCCGTAGAATTGGTCGCCAAGTGCTTCCTGGAGTCCAGGTGGTGCCGCGGTCTTCTGCTCTTGCCCTTTTGCGGCATGCGCGTTGGCACCTTCCTTGGGAGGAGATCGGCAGT